CCATCTTGGTTGGGTTAATTTGCATATAGTCACTCTGATTGGCTGGTTGGCATGGCTTAAGGTGTAGCGAAGGTACAGTCAATTTGCATGTTTGTCTTTTATTAGTGTAGATACCCATTAAAAGAACCGTTATGCATCAGAGATATTCTATTTATCTGTCAGAAGTTGAGTAGATTACCAGTTGTATGACAAGATAAATAGGAACCTACCAAGAAGGCATTTTAAAATAATAAGTTACTGGTTTGGGGAAAATGTTTTAAGAGGATGTCTGTGGTTTTGACTTGCATAAAACAATTGCAAAATAATTGAGTTGCATAAAAATGATATTTATTTAATTTAATGAGAAGCAACTGGCCCTTATTTTTTTAGCAATCTAGTAACATTAATTTTTTTTTTTTGCTTGACAAAGTGTAGAGTTGAATAGGAATATCATATACTGGCTAAAATTGCGTTATTCACAATTTTTTTATTTTATGAAATAAATAGCTAAACTGTTGATGTTTAAAAAAATCATTTGTGAAGGAAGCATCCAAGAGATAGCTAAATATGTCTCATGTGAAAAGAGAAATGGGCTGTTCTTGGTTTTTACTGTTGTCTGGATTTCCTTCCATGAACAAGTGCCCTCTGGTGGCAACACTAACTCCTAGTTTCAAGTTAGTTCATTTCCCTCCTGAATTTTAAAGAGGCCTTGAATATTTTTCATTTAAATTTCTTTGCTTTAAATATGAGGCGATTAGAAATATTTTAAAATATTATTACAACCTGCTAGTGTATTTGAGAGGCAGATAACAAGACTTTTTACAACAATTTTTACATTAATTCTCTCAAGCGTGGATGAATCCAATGATTGGTTGTACACAAAGGATTGCATTTATTTCATTTAAATCAGAATGAATTGGATTCTGAGCCCCAACAGGATGAGAAGAAATAAGTAATCTCAGTTATCATCTTGGCTTTATTGCCTTGGAAAAAAGCATTCTGATGGTTCCTCCTGTCTCTGGCCCAGGATGCTCAAGCCCATGACTTCTTGAAGTCTGGGACTCTCACTTGCTTCTGTGCCATGCACACAAACTGGGGGGCCTTATGAAGACCAGTCAACCTTGGGCTTGGAATCAAGTGTTAAAAATAAAGAGATTCAGTGGAAATTATAACTTTTATGAGAAAAGATACCAACTAGCATACCATAGAGGCCATATGTAAATACAGTTATTCCTATTCATAATATACTCATTAAAAGAACTGTTATGCATCAGAGATATTCTATATGGTGTCCCAAAATTCATGCAAGATTTGCAATTGAATTGAATTGCAAATCTTGTGTGAATTTTGGGACACCCTATATTTATCTGTCAGAAGTTTAGTTTGGTTCCTGATCTCCATAGGCTCATTTAAAATCATCTCCTCCCAGGCTACCCTGCTACAAATTTGGGCACAGGCCCTGATGCCCTTGAGAACTGTAGCCTCTACCCTTCCCTGCCCTGTTTTCAAAGAACTGCAACCATGTCCCACCTCCATGCCTTTCACCCAGAGATTCCAAATGCCTTTTCAGTGTGTTTAGGCAAGTCAAGCCATTGAGATTCTGTTTTTGTTCTGCCAGTGTCATTAAGGCAAGGATAGTTCAAAGACTATACCTACCTGCTTGGATGAGGGGGCTTGCATAGGAATGGAAAGTACAATGAACGGCCCTGACTTGTGTGTGTCATCCCATCCACCGAAAGGTTGCCGCTTCCATTCCTGGTCAGGGCACATGTATGGGGCACAGGGGGAAACCAATGAATGTGTTTCTCTCATACACCGATGTTTCTCTCTCTTCCTTACCCTCTCTCTTAAATCAGTAAAAAGAAAAGAAAGTACAATGAATGTAGTTTAAAATCACAATAAATGATTCTTCTGCATTTCTACTGATTTATAGAACATAGCCTTAATGTGTCCCAAACATAAGTGTATGCTGAATGGTCTAAGTTCAAATTATGTTTTAATCATGAATGATATCTCTTTATGATCCGCTAGCTTGTGATTGTGTAAAATGAGGAATGATGGAGTGGTAGCAAATAGAGAACTCCTTAGTGCTTGACAAGAAGAATGGAAGAATTATAGGAAAAATATATCTTGATTGTATATATTAACTGCAGTATAATTTATATGATAAACTTTTTTCATTTTGATTTTTTTTAATGTAAAGGGTTGAAGGATGCTTGCCCTACTGCCCTAAACATATGATCCTTGATGAGATCACCCTCAAATGTGTTTATCCAGGAGACTGTAAGTGTGAACCCTACTTACTTTATTCTGGAAAAGTAAAACACTTGAACATATTTTTCTCTATGATGGCAAGTGGTTTTATTTTTCATTTTTTCCCCCATTGACTCCCTCCAGCCCATGCCCACCCCTCACCCCAGGCCTTCACCATCCTAATGTCTCTGTCCATGTGTTATGCATATATATATATATATACAAGGTCTTTGGTTGATTACCTCCCACCTACCCACCCTCCCTCACCTTCCCTCTGAGATTTCACACTTGTGAACAGAAGTTTTAGATGGGCAATATACTTTCGTAAGATTCTTCTTCAATAGCCTTTGTATTGTCTTTTCATTTCTAATTACTTTTCAAAGAATGCAAATCTTCTCTCTAACATTTCTCCTGTGTTCTCTCTCCTCAAACATTTTCCTCCAAGCTAAAGATCCCTCTATGAACTATGTGGGCCTCACCTTAAACAAAACTAGTTAAAGAAAGTCTCTTTGTTTCTTTGTAGGCATACCTCTGATTCCCATGTCACCAGGTAAGCTATCTCTACCCATATGTACTGGTATTGTTACAATTATAGACACTAGAATAGCATTGTGTAATTTAAGTCTTAGCACACTTATAACAATGGCTGGTATTAGTACTCTCCCATCTCCTGGAAAACCTAGCTGTCAGTTGTTTTGTTAAGTAGATGGGTCAGCATAACACCATTTCTAAATGACTTCTGCATTTGGTCCACCTCCTTTTCCCTTTCAATGAGTATAGATAACAAAGATTCCCCGCACTTTTTTTTTTTTTTTGCCTAGAATTTAGGTTTTATCAAATCCTACTTAAATTTTCACAGTGATTAGGCTGACTCTAAAAATATGTTAATGCAAAGAACACCATCCTTTAATCGCTTCCATTCCTGTTCCTGTGCTCTGTCCCAGCCTCTGGAGGGGCATTCTGGGCCCATACCCCGGCTTCTCTCCCTCACTATGAAACTTGCCTCAGAAAAGGATTAATACATCTACTCATAGCGAGGCTTGACAAACTTAATTTAGAGAAGCTCAGATATTTATTCTTCAATTTACTTGACAAGATTTAATTGAGTGTCAACTCTGCTAGGCAGTGTCCTGGCACTGGGGGGAGGACAGGAGAAAGGTGATTAAGACACAGCCTCTACCCTTAAACTGCTACTAGTCCATAGGTTGTTGTGATATTACAATAGGGGTAATACAAGCAGTAGACATTCCTGTATACTTGTACTAATTTTGGAGGTTTGATCTCAGAAGGTAGCAGAAGATAGGAGTTGGATAGACTAGTAGGAGGAGGAAGTGTGCTCTCCAGCTGGAAGGGGAAGCATGTGCAAAGGCCTGTAACTGAGAGAAACCATGACACACAGAGGGATTTGCTAACCTAACAATAGGCCTTTCAAAGTGAGAAGCAACAAGAAATGTATTGAGATTCATAAGAATAGCCATTCCGAATGCACTGATTCAGGCAGAAGCCCAAAGAATGTTCTAATGTGGAGACAAAGGCAATGGGAATTTATGAGAAAGGGCAGGGGAACAACTGCATCAATAGAAGGAAGGCATTTCTATTGATGCAGATAACAACATAGTGATGTGAATTCTAAACAATGTTTTTAATTTTCAGTCCAGTAGTCATCGGTCCAGGGGTCACCACTGCTTTCTTGTTATCTTTGCAAACAGTTTTTTTTGGAGCACAATGCTGCCCTAGGTTCAATCCAAAGGTTATTTGCCCAGTTGCAACAATCTGAAGGTATGAGGCATAAGATGTGCAGTTTCTCTGGCCTGGCAGCTTCCGCTCCGGTTTTAAAGTGGCTCCGTTTATATTATTGTTTACAAACTTCAAGCAGGTCAATGTATCTTGAGCATGTAGTGCGAGGGGAATTGAGCCAAGGGAAGGGATGGCACAGATGATCAGGGCCAGATCACCGAGTCCCTGGTAAGAAACTTGGATTTTCTTTCTTTCTTTTTTTTTTTTAATATATTTTATTGATTTTTTACAGAGAGAAAGGGAGAGGGATAGAGAGCTAGAAACATTGATGAGAGAGAACATCGATCAGCTGCCTCCTGCACACCCCCCACTGGGGATGTGCCCGCAACCAAGGTACATGCCCTTGACCGGAATCGAACCTGGGACCCTTCAGTCCGCAGGCCGACGCTCCATCCACTGAGCCAAACCAGTCAGGGCTGGATTTTCTTTCTAAAGACAATGGCAAGTCATTGAAAATTTTAATGAGTCCTGTGACATCTTCAAAGTAATAGTCGCAGTACTACCATCACTTCTATTCTAATTAGCTACCATTTATTGAGTACTTATTATGTACCAGGCATTGGACTAAGTTCTTTGCATACATTTAATCCTTATAAGAACTCTATGAGAGAGGCATTATATATATATGCCAGTTAAAAGCCAGGACTCTAGAATCAAAATCTCTGAGTTTGAATTTTGTCTCAAACATTTACTAGCTTATCTCGCTGCACCTTAGTTTCCCTCTCTGTAAAATGACAAGAGTATTGTTATCTACCTCACAGGGTTCTTGTGGGAATAAATGAAATAATCTATATAATATTTCTTAGCAGTTTCTACCACATGTGAATTCCATACACAATGGATATCATCCCACTAACAGAGAGGACATCTTCATTTCCAACAGGTCCAGAAACGGTTTCTCCACCAGACGTCACTGTGGCCGACATGCTAACACCCACCCCAGGTTTGGAATGTGAGGTAAGACCGAGTAATCTCTTCAACTATTGTGTCCTTTTCTTGTAGCATCTGTTCAAGTGTCTGTATCACTATCCAAACGCTATTAAACTTTTCAGTGTGATCGCTAGTCTTTCTTTGCTAAAAGATAATAAGAAATATACATTACTATTTTAACAATTGTATTTCTTAAACAGACCCAGATATTTCTTATTAATTAGGTTCTGGTCACACTGAAAAATATAAAATTCAAATGGGGACTTAAGTGTGATTCTTTAATAAATAGTTATCTAGTGTGGGCTTCTCTGTAAGTCAAGCATTCAAAAAATATTTATTAAGGAGCTACTATGTGCCAGGCATTATGTAAGATGACAAAGATACAATGGTAAGCAAAGCAAGATAAGGTCATTGAACCCCAGAGCTTGTAATTGTCTGGGCTGAGACCTGAGCACTTATATCCTTACTCCAAATATGCTATTTGTTCTAATAAAGTAATTACTTATTCAATCATTATTATTTCTGGCCAGGCACTATTAAGGTACCATGGATAAAACAATATAAAAGCAGGCAAACATTTCTGTGCTTATGAAGTTTACATTTTATTGGAGGTTTGGAGACAATCAATAAGCAAAATATGTTCCTGAGTCATAAAAAATGTTAGAGGGTGCTGCTCAGGAGGAAAATGAAACTATTTTTAGTTATATGGTCAAAAGTTCTCACTGATGAGGTGATCCTATATAATAAAAGCCTAATATGCTAAGTGTCCGGTCATCCATTCAATCAATCAAAGCATAATATGCTAATGATATGCTAAGGCTGCTCAACCCTCGCTATGACATGCACTGACCACCAGGGGGCAGACGTTCTGACCGGTAGGTTAGCTTGCTGCTGGAGTCTGGGCTGATAGGGACTAAGTGAGACAAGCTGGCCATGCCCTGGAGCCCTCCCCTGAGTGGTCCCTCCCTGGCTGGCCAACCTCCTGCGTCCCTCCCCGGCCCCAATCGTGCACCAGTGGGGTCCCTCAGGCTAGCCTGTGCCCTCTCGCAATTTGGGACCCCTCAGGGGATGTCGGAGAGCCGATTTCAGCCCTATCCCACAGGCCAGGCCATGGGACCCCACTGATGCACAAATTTGTGCACTGGGCCTCTAGTTTCATAATAAAAGTTCTAAAGAAGTTGAGACAGTGAGCTGTGTAGAGAAACAGAGAGTGTTCCAAGCAAGTGCAAAGGCCCTGCAGTGAGGAAGCACCTGAAATATAAAACCAAAAACAAAACAAACACACACACACACACACACACACACACACACAAACAACACCAACAAGGCCATTAAGTAAGGAAGGGATAAAATAGCAGCAAGTAAATTCGATTATGTAAGCCCTTTTAGATGATTGTAAAGACCATGGCTTTTTTCCTAAATGACAGGATATTGCATGGGATATTTTTGAGCAGAGGAATTACATGAGATAATTTGTTTCAGGTATATTTTAGCTGCTGTGTTGAGAGCAGGGTGAAAGGAGACAATAGAACAAGTTAGGAGGCTATTGCAGGAATTTAGGCAAAAGACAATGGTCGCCTGGACCAGGTAACAGCAGTAGAGATGATGGATATATTTTGAAAATAGAAACTACAGAATTTGCTGAAGGATTAGATGTGAGGTGTGAGTGAAAGAGAAGTATCAAGGATTCTAAAATGTTTGCCGTGAGCAACTGAAGGATACAGTTGACATTAATTAGGATGGTGAAATTGTGGGAAGTGAAGGTCTGGTTGGTTATAACCAAGAGTTCAGTTTTGCCAGGTAAAGATTGAGATTCCTTTTAGGTATCAAAAATCTGTGGATTTACAGATATGCTAAACATAGAGTTCACCTCAGAGGGTTGTTGTTGTGGGAATGAAATGGGTTAGTTTGAACAATGGGAGCATAATAAGTGGTATAAATGTTTATCATTGCTGTAATTATTACCATGATTTAAATAGAATGTAATTTATAAACTGAAAAAAAAACACCACTTATTTAAATCTTGTCTGTCTAGAAGTCTGTGAGCTATACATTGCATTGATAATTTATAATGATTCTACCCAACAGTCAAATTGACCTCACATAGGAATTTTTAATGAAATACTAGGATATAATTAAGTTGTAATTTTTAAAAAATTGACACTAACAGAGATTAGATTCAATACTAGCTTTACACAATGTAATATGACAGGTTGAGAGCCACTATATAAGTCTGCTTGCAAAACACTAAGCTAGATAAATTAGGATAAGACTTCAATTTGCTCAGATTTCTGAGTACATGGGCAATTCTGATATCAAGTCAATATTGAGATAAAGTTGAAATAAAACGTTCATACTGAGTATTTTAGAAAGGTTACATCAACAAAAAGTTGTAGTAAAATTTTAATTGTTCATCTTTCAAAGGCTGTCATATGTAGGGAATATAGACTATAGGCAATGTGAATGGAAATTTTAAAAAATATATGCAATGATATATTACTCAGCAATAAAAAAGGAATGCAATCTTGACTTTTGTGACAACATGAATGGACCAGAAGGGTATTATGCTAAGTGAAATAAGTCAGACACAGAAAGAGAAATACCATATGATTTTACTTATGTGTGGAATCTAAAAATACAAAACAAAAGCAAGTGAATAAACAAAACAAAACAGGACCATAGATACGGAGAACAAGCTGAGGGTTGCCTAAAGGGGATAAAGACAAAAAATTTAAAAATAATTGAAAACAGTAGTTGAAAATGGGGGGAAAATCACCGATTTTCTTTATTTATTTCTTTTTGTTTTTACAACAGCCTCAACAATTTGATCCTGTTTATAATTGTAGCCAATATATATGCCTTAATATGGAATGGAAGTTGTACAACTGGTCTCTCAATTGCCCAAAGGACTTGGAAATGCCTGACTGTGGTTTCCGGGGAAGGCCTGTTCAAGTGAACACTGATATCTGCTGCCCTGAGTGGGAATGTCCTTGTGGGTTTGCATTTCTTACATCGTTATCAATTTTTGATCAGGAGGAGGTTGTAAATTTTTTGAGCCGACCACCTCATCAAGCCAAAGTTATTGTTGAGCATTCTTCATTTGATTTATGATTTTGGTTCCCAGTATGTAACCTTTAGATTTGCTTTTTGTCAAACATGATAAGACTAATTTAAAGCAACTGTTACTACAAATAGAAATAATTAGTAACTAAGGAAATCCACTCTCCAACATTTCTTTTAGGTCGGTGTTCCATGTTGTCAGAATTGAGCATCATTACGTTTGATGGAAACAATGCAGCATTATATAGTATGGCTTCTTATATCTTAGTACGAATTCCTGGGGAAGTTATAGTTGCTCATATTGAAAAATGCTCCATGAATCAGGTAAGTTCAATTCTTTTGTTCCCCACATAGATTTTACTAGTAAATAATGAACTTTCAATAGCTCTCATAACCAATACTAAGTGAGAAGTACAAAGGTAATACTGAGCAGATGGAATTAACAACATGACGATAATAACTTACAAAAATTTGTTAATCTATATGGAAAAGAATAATCAAATGAGATCATTGCAAATTTATATATTCTAGCTCTTAAGATCTGAGTAAAATGTATTTTTTTATTATTATTTGAAGTATAACAGATAGTATTACATATGTCTCCTTTTCCCCCATTGACCTCTCAACATGACGATAATAACTTATGAAAATTTGTTAATCTATATTGAAAAGAAGAATAATCAAATGAGATCATTGCACATTTATATATTCAAGCTCTTAAGATCTGAGTAAAATTTATTTTTTATTATTATTTAAAGTATTACATATAGCATTACATATGTCTCCTTTTCCCCCATTGACCTCCCCCCGAAGTTCCATTCTTTGTCCTTTCTTCATAAATCTACAGCTGGAGTATGTTGCAACATTAGGTATTCCTAGAGTAAGGAGGGGCTCAAGAACTCACTGACATTTATCTTCTGGTACTTAAAACAAAAAATATTTCATGTTACTATATTTAGAGGCATATAATAGTAATTCAAAAAAAGTTTTTAAAAGTCAAGTAGTATTTTTCTTTTAAAAATGTTTTCTCTTTATGCTTTTTACTTTTCAGAATGAGGACTCATTTCAAAAGCTAGTGAGTATTTGTGAAGTGTTTAGTAAATTACTTCTGTTTATTGCTAAAATTATGTTTATTAACTTTACAAAGTTTGTTATTTCTTTTTCCCCAAAATTAAGGCTTCTTCTGAAAGAATCTCTGGACTTTGTTTTAAGAGGTTAAATTTGACAACATCTATACATAAAATACTTGTCAATCGGGCAGCAAGAAAGGTAGGAATACAAAGCTTAAAAATATCCTTGCCTTAGATATAATTAAGAAATTATATAAATAAAATTATTTCCAAAAAGAGGAAAATTAAACATATCAGTGGAGTTTTATGGCTATTATGTCTAATCATTGTTTTCATGGGCAGCCTAAAAGTGTTTCTTAGTATTATATTCCTCTTCCCATAATGTGCCAACTGTTGCAAATATTTCTCTCCTTGCGAGGTTAACTGCAACAGCCATGTGAAATATGCTAAAGCCTTCTTGGATAAGGTAAGTGGCCAATCTTCTTAGTGGCCGAGTTAACCTTAGTGTAACAAATTAAACACAATGGAAATGACGTGAAGAAGAGGGATCATAAGGCTGGAAACAGTAGTTGCCATGAATACCAGGATGAAGACCACCAAAAGAATCAATGGAAGCAGTAGTTTTGAAATGTTGATGCCATTACTTTTTCAGTGAATAAGTGATAGCTAAAATAAGAAAAAATAAAGGAATAGTTAACTTTATTGCAATATACTGAAGAAGGGCTAGGTATATAAAAGTTGGAAAAGATCTATTTAGTGTTATATGAAAAATGTTTAAAAAGGCTTTATAATATAAAAATATAAATATATATTCCTAAGGAATATATTTACCAGATAGGAGTGAGTTATAAGCCAGATGTCTCACTCAGATACAAATGGTTCTCTCAAAAATATAAGAAAATAATGTGTAAAAAATCTTTTTGCTTGAAATGGATGAGACATTATAGACTTTCTGGAAATAATTCCATTAACACAGGACCATAGATTCTAGACTAGAAACAATATTAAAATAATCATTCAAAGAACTTATATACTTATATGCATAGCCCATGGTCACGGGCAATAGGGTGGTGAAGACCTGGAGGTGGGGCTAGAGGCTGGGGGGAAAAAGGGGAGGGAATGGGAGATATCTATAGTACTATCAACAATAAAAATATATTAAAATAAATAAAATAATCCTAAAATAGTAAGGTGTTAAATTTTAAGTAAACTTTAAAAAATATATGAATTTGGTCCTTTTGAATGATAGTATTCATATATACCTTTGATTTTTATGAGGTTGATATATTAACAGGAAGTGAATGGGAAGTGAATTCAAACCTGGTATGCTATTATTGTAAGCATTTGGGTTTGTTTTTTGCCTCAGCTGAACTTGTCACTGGTCATGTATTTAGTTAAAAACTAATGAATTTTTAAAAATCACTTAGTGAGCGTTTACATGATAAAAATAACACAGGTCCTGATCTCAAGTTACTTGTAGTTGTGTGTGGGATGCATGACTGTAATTATCTGCCAATTAGAAAGTAGTAGGAGGTATAGTGACAGAGTTATGACCAAGACATTATGGAAACAAAAAGGAGGTTCATTTAGTGCAGTTTGTAGGAGGGTCAAGTAAGTAATTTTGGAAGTGACACCTGAAATAAATCTTAAAGAATGAGTAGAAATTAACAGGCAAGTGGAGAGATGTTTTAGCTCAAAGGTGACAGCATGAGAAAGATGTAAAGATGAGAAATTAGGTGGTTGGTCAGGTATAAACTTCGACAAATTTACTGCTGGTTGCAGTTCATGCTTCCATGTCATTGCCATTATTTAAAGCACTGTTTTTCAAAGTATTATCCTTGGACTGCCTGCATCTGTATTACCAGGAGTACATGATAAGAATACAGTCAGGAATCTCACCCAAACCTAGGAACTGGAATCCCTGGGAATTCTAATCTTTACTAACCTTGGCAGATGACTGTTATAAACATTATAGTTAGACACTAAATTAGAAGACCATAGAAAGAACCAGCTTAAAGAAAATATCTTGAAAGTAACTTTATTAGCTTATATTCATGTTAGTAGGTAGTGGTGTAGTCAACATATATTGAGGGAAATAGACAGAAAGCTTACATAACAGAAAAAAATAAAGCTGTTTTTTGCATGTGTTTTTGTTGTTTCTGAGAGGAACACATCGATTGGTTGCCTCCTGCATGAGCCTTGACCAGGGCCCTGGCCGGGGAGGAGCCTGCAACCGAAGTATGTGCCCTTGACCAGAATCAAACCCGGGACCCTCTGGTCCACAGGCTGATGCTGTATCCACTGAGCCAAACTGGCTAGGGCAAAAGTTAAGTTTTGAAGAAAATAAAGGGCAATGAGGTTAAAACAAATACTGAATACAGCAAGACACAGCAAAGAAACAATAAAAGAGCTTTGAAGTTATGAGACGCTATGGCAGCACAAGGGAAATAAATTTTTAAAAACTTAAAGTATAGTTTATATTAAATAGGAAGAAATGGGATAATCTGAAAACTCCTAATTTTAATAAATGTATATTTATTTATTTATTTTTATATTTTTCATTGATTTTTTTTTGAGAGAGAGAGACACATATTGATGTGAGAGCAAAACATCGATTGGCTGCCTCCTGCACGCCCCCTATTAGGGATTGAGCCACAACCTGAGCATGTGCCCTGCCCAAGAATCGAACCAGCAATCTTTTGGTGCATGGGACAATGCCAAACCAACTTAGCCACACTGGCCATGGCTAATAAATATTTAAACATAAAATTTTTACTGACAGATGTAAATGCATTATGTAATTACAGGTAGAAGTGGATTCTATTGTTGTGCCTTTGCCCTTTTCAAATCAAGAACTGTTGATAGAGGATTCAGGTAATATGTACGTGATTACTACTCCAGCTGGACTAATCATAAAGTGGGCTCATCTCACAGGAATCTTAGACATTCATTTTGGCTTTCAATTTAACTTGTCCTCCTCCACAGAAGGACTTTGTGGTGAGTATTGCTCTTCAAATCTCAATTTCTTCTAACTTTTCTTTCCTATTCATTTTACACTGTTTTGGCACCTATTGCCAGATCTTTTTGATTTGAGATGTGATATTAACTTTCAGTGACCTATGTGAATATTGAATGAAGTAATGGTTTCCAATGAATGGATTAAGAAGCAAGAGATAACAATTCAATGTGGGTATTTTATGGAGCCATATTCTCACTATTAATATAATATTGCTTATATTTATACTAGCTCTTCTTTATTAAGCATTAATGAAGTGTCAGGCATTATTTTACTTATTTTAACTCATTTAATTATAACGATAGCCCTATGAATAGGCACTAGCATTAATTTGTGACAAAAATGAGGCATAGAAAGGTTAAAAATAACTTTTTATTATAAAGTATAAAGCCTAGATGTACCTTTACACCTCAATTTAATATCACAATACAGGGTGGGGCAAAAGTAGGCTTATAGTTGTTCACATGGAATATAATACAATAATTAATAAAGAATACTACAAGAATATGTTGTTTCATGTACTTACAACTGTAAACCTACTTTTGCCCCACCCTGTATGTTACATAGATACAAAGAGTTTCAAGCCAAAGAAAGCAAATTAGAAATATAAGAAAGAATAATACTGGCTCTGGTGTAAGAAAGAATAATACTGGCCCTGGTAAGTTAAGCAGTGCTATCCCTTTACAGTTCTGCTCAACATCAGTTTCCTCACCTTTAAAATGGGATAGTAATATCTGCCTTCAAGATTGTTGCTAGAATTGTATGTGAAAGTGATTGTAAAAACACATAACATATTGCTTAATACACACAGTCAACAAATGTTAGTACATGTTTGCTACCTAAGGTCAGCCCCTAAGCTTCCTGACCTCCACAGTGGGGTTGGGTGAAGGGAAATGTGGGTGCTCTTGGGATCCCTAGGTTGGGTGCTGGCTGATAAAGTTTCAGTGAACAAGAATCTGGCCCAAGTTGAGCATGGACACTAGGATGGGAGGTCTCTATTGACACCTCGTTTTACATAGCGCTGTAAAGTCTGTGGGGGTGCTGGTTGAAGTTGCAATGGAAACTATTTTTACTAGAAATTAGAAGAGTTTAAGTTTAAAAATAGTAGCTGCTTTATAGTATAATTCTCTTGAGTTTTTTGAGGTATTTTTTTTCTTTGCACTGTACTCAATTCTCTGCATATTTACAAGGGCCGTGGCTACCATGGCAGCAGCAACCTTTATTGATAGTGACATAAGATTTGATCCTGGAAAAAATGTTTAACTCACTTCTTTTATAGCTGGGAGCCTTAGAAGTTAAGAAAAAAATATGTCTTCAAATAGGGTGGGATTCAGGTAAGTTATGATCAGGTTACAGATCCATTTCTCTATGCTTCCCTTGTCTCTGCACTCCACTGGATGAAGAGCAAGCTCCATCCTCAGTCTGGCCTTCCTCAAGGAAGGTAGGCTGTAGCAAGTCAATGCGTGATAGCCATCAATAGGCCATGCCATCCCAAGGAAGGGGGATTGTCTATGTCCTAGAATATCGAGGTCAAATTCTTAGCTTGGCAATGGTTGTCCTAATGTTGAACATATCTCTGTGTCTGGTGACTGCCATGAGCTGACTAGTTTATGCCTGGATTGCTTGTAACAGTTTTTAATAAAAGGTGTGCAATTCAGGCCCCTCTCCTGGAGGGTGTCATGCTCTAGGTGATGAGGCAGGGATGATTTCTGAAAGGGATAATTTAATGTTTTCAGGCAGGGTTTTCTTGGGGGAGTGGATGCCTGGAGTCAATCACCAATTGGCCACTATTATGGGGAATACCTGACAGATTTAAGAACTTGTTCTTAAATTAGGAGATAGTGCTAATAGTGGAAAAGCATAAGGACAGAACCAATTTCCTCTTTCTTTACTTTCTATGATCCTTTCATATATCTTAACTTCTAGGATCATTAACCGTAATAAATTATTCTGATGATTGAATTCTGCTGCCTACATTTGGTTTAAGTGAAAATTTTTTCCTTCTAAATGTCACATATCTTTCTAGGAATTTGCAATGATGATCCAGATGATGATCTAAGGATGCAAAATGGCACAATTATTACAAATATGGAAGACATAGAATTATTTATTGAGAGCTGGGAAATTGAGAAATCATTTAAAGTAATAACAAGAAGACCTGTTAGAAATTGCACTGAGTATGATTGCAGTCACTGCATTGAATTATTAAATAGAAAAGTTTTTGTTCCATGCCATGATAAAGTAAGTTGAAAGTGACCATAGGTAAGAGCTGTCCTGTTAGATATGTTGAAAGTAAACCTAGTAAAGTCCTATTCTCGCCATGATGTCCTTCTACTAAGAATAGTTTATCTCCAAACCTTCTGTCAGTTTGCTTTGGAATTCAGAATCATTTGCTGTTTATAGATTTATCGAGAGGGAGGATAATTACCTTTTTTCTCCTATTTTTATTTCAGAACTATATCAACAGCTTTCCAGAAACATGAAATTCCATCTTTTCAATAAATGCCTCTAGGAGAAAGAGATCAATGTCACTTGATAACCCAGTATAGAAACCACGACAGTGAGGGGTTTAATCAATTCCCTATGAACTTGGCCTCTGAGGGGTAGACTTATAATAGAACCTTTATTAGTATCTAACTTTCTGACTTTAGGTGACTAGCAGATATTTTAATATAATCTCTATATTTTAAAAGATCCATTATTAGAAACAAAGAACAGACAAATATAGCATTTCATGAATCACTTAATGAAAAGTTAGTAAACTTCTTGGCCCTAATAGGCTTTGTGTTAAACTCCTATGATCCAAAGATGAATAAGACTTTCTCCTCGTCCTCAAATAACCTAGTGGGAATGAAAGCCTTTGAATAGATATGTTGCAAGATACACTATGGAGGTATATGGAAGCCCAGGGTTGAAGAAAATTTCCCACAGTTTAAGACATTTGAATTATATAGAAGAATGCATTTTCCAGGAGAGAGAATGGAGGAAGGGAGGAAGGGAGACTTAGGCAGATAAAACAATATATGTAAGAACAGTCTTGGTGTAAAAGTGCATGTTAGGAAAACATTGAAGGTTTAGTGCAAGTCCTGTGGATGGGAAGAGCCTGGAGGAAGAGTGAGGGAATTGTTGAAGCAGGAAGGAACTCACTGTGAAGCACCTTCCCTGCTGAAGGAAGTGCAGACTTCATAGTCTTCAGCCTGCCTCGAACTTCCCCTGAGGACAAAGGCAAAGGGTTTGAAGTCAGGGACAAAAAATGACACATTTCTGGAGCTTCACTTTTACTTAGAGATTTGGATACAAATAAGTTTTAAATCAGGGGTCCTCAAACTACGGCCCGTGGGCCACATGCAAATACAAATATTGTATTTGTTCCCGTTTTGTTTTTTTACTTCAAAATAAGATATGTGCAGTATGCATAGGAATTTGTTCATAGTTTTTTTTTTAAACTATAGTCCGGCCCTCCAACAGTCTGAGGGACAGTGAACTGGCCCCCTGTTTAAAAAGTTTGAGGACCCCTGTTTTAAATGTTTACATTTTTCAATGCATGCACACAAAAATGAAAACATAGCAAATACTTTTAAACTGATTTCAGTGTCATTTTTTTGTCTTTTAAAAGCAGAATGATTTTCGAAAATTGAATTTTTAACTGGAAACCTGGAAGGTTGATTAAATCAGGAGACTTTTCAGCTTACCTTTCAGGGCATAGTGAGGCAACACAGGGTACCATTTAGTCTAGAATAGCCTCCACTTTTCCCCTTAGGACCTTCCCAGTGCGTTTGATGGCAAAAGAAAGGAGTGCTCATAATTTGGTTTCCCTACTTCTAATCTTCATCCTTTTTTTGCAAATTACCATATAAGGAGGCAGATGGTCTTTTAAAAATTGAAAAGGGATTATATCACTTCTCTGCCTAAAACCCATCAGTGTCTTTTACTGACACATTCCAAACTTCTTATCAGGGCTTACCAGGTCCTCTATGCCCTGCCCGCCCATCTCCAGCTTCCTCCTCTACTACACTCTTCTTGTCTGCTAAACATCAGCCTCTCTCCTTTCAACACTGAATATTTCAGGGTTTTTTCTGTCCATAGGTTTTTATGCTTTCCTCTTGCCGTCTATTTTAACGTGGTGACTCCTCTTGCTCACTAAAAGGTTTTCTTAAATTGAGATCCACAAGGCAGAGAAGAGATCCATTTTATTCACCTTTATATTCCTCATGCATAGCATAGTGTCTGGTATGTAATCAGGTATTCAATAAATTACGGAAGTATGCATAAATGAATAGATGAATGGAGGATATGAGAGAAACAGCTTGCGGGGGGGTTAAATGGAGAAGGGATATCATTTTTATTTTGAGTAAGTTAAGTCATGTGGGACTTTAAAGCAAAAATAGCCACAAAACAACTTAGAAACATAATTCTAGAGTTCAGAGGAGATAAGCTGAGGTCAGAGATCAGGTTTGGGAAGTTATTAATACATACATTTTAAAAAATCATAATTACTAATATACCAGAGTCTGTTCTATAAACTTTACATATATTAACTCACAGCCACCTTAAGCAGTAATAAGCTTATTATTAACTATTTGACTTACGAAGAAATCAATGCAAAGACTTTAATGCCCAGATGGTGGTAGAAACTGAAAATAGGTGAGCCCAGGAAGAGCAGTTGCAATGAGTAAACATGACCAGTGGAAATGGGATTTAGAGAAACACTCCGAATGAGAGGCAGCAGAGAAAACAATGAGCAGCTGAAAGGCAATAGAGTTCTGTACCCTCGAAGGACACAGAGGGTCCTAAGAAGCAGGAAGTGTTCCTGGCGTCATAGGCCTCTGAGAGGTTGGGGAAGGTTCCGAATGTTAGTGTCCCTGGTATTTGACAATTAGGAGGCCCTGATGACCATCACAAGAATTCTGTGCAAAGTAAAGTAGTTGGAAACTGAGGAGAGGCAACAAAGGAGATTAAAAAGGAAGTGGAACCTTGCTTTGTATAGATATGAATCTTGAAGAAGAAATGATGGGATATGTAAAATATTAAGCATTTTATCTGAAACTTTGATCTATGTCAGAATTTAGCATCTGAATGTAGAATCCAAGCATGTACACTCAGATGGGGGTTGGGGAGTGGGGCGCCCAGAAAAGATGGCGGCAGAGTAGGTCAAAGTTACACTCACCTCCTGCCAGGTCCAAACTGGACTTACAATTAAATTACAGAGTCAACCTGAATGTCAATGTTTAGTATATTTGCTGAATGAATGAATAGAGAATTGGAATAAGGATCTTAAAAGTTAAATTATTTAGATTTCAGGCATCTCTAGATCAAAATGAAACAATCTGTAGGAAAAAAATGCGTCCCTAATTACATTGAGGTATGAAAAATTAAATACATTATTTGAGCAACATATAATATTAATATACATTTTAAAAATTCTCACTGAGGACATGTTATTCATTGATTTTATAGAGAGGAAGGGAGAGAGAGAGAAACAGAGAAAGAGAGAAGAGAGAGATGTGAGAAACATAGATCAGTTACCTCCCGCATGCACCTTGACTGGGGATTGAACCCGCAACCCAGGATGTGCCCTGTTGGGGAATGGAACCCACCACCTTTCGGTGGTGTATGGGAGGAGGTTCCAACAGATTGAACCACACTGGCCAGGGCTGTGCGTGTTTTCTTAAGCATTTATAACCTCATTTAGTGAGCAATGCTGTGTATCATTACAGAAAGCTTCAGAAGCTTCTATTTTACTTATAATAGATCAAAGTCTTACTCCATACATAGAAAAGACAAGTGTAACCTAAACTGTGATATCAGAAATGGCTTTTGCTAGAGCCACATACTCTGCTTCTTTTCCACACTTTTTTATAAATTGATTTTCATTATAGTTGACATGCAATATTATAGTAGTCTCAGGTGTACAACATAGTGATTAGACATTTATATACCTTACAAAGTGTTCACCCCTATAAACCTTAGGATAAATACCCAAAAGTGGGATTCTTTCCCATCTTTATAAGATTAGATTTATGTAGATTAGAGCAGACAGTACTTATCTAAAATGTGTTTTATCCAAAATATTATAAATTCAGAGGTGACAGCTCATTACCGTGAAGTTTTGAAAATCTAAGGTCAAAGAAGAACCGTAATGCACATTAACTTGCTGCTCTTTGATTTTCCAAATAGTGTTAGTCTAGCTTATGGAATTTAGAGAAATAAAATAATATAACTTATCCAAAGGCACAACATATTTCTAGGTTTCACCACAGAACTTTTGTGAAAAGATGTGGATCAATTATACCAATCATTGGAACCATGAGTGTGATGCACCGTCTGCGTATGTGGCTCTGTGCAACAATTTTGGCATCTGTATTCAGTGGAGGACACCTGATTACTGCTGTAAGTAGTACACTGCAAATCATATTTTCTAACAGCCAAGTGACTTTCCATTGTTTTGCATTCACTTCTTTCTTTTTCTTTTCATTTTTCATCACAAAATAATTTCATAAGAATAACTGCATATCAATCTAACCTAGAAGTAGGAGGCAAGCTTTCCCACATAGGCAACTTCTGTTTTTATCCTGATCTAAATTTAAAGTAAACCTCAATTACCGTAAAAGAAAACCTAGCCCAGCAAAGTAAACTGAAGAGTTAAAGAAATCACAGAGGATTGAAGAGGGACTAATTCTGCATCTTACAACACATTTTGTTCATCCCATTTAACCTGCTTCATTTCTCCCAGCTTGTTCTTATTCATTTATTATGTGGAGAGGATGGAGATTTTTGCCCCCCTTTTCTCCTTTTCTGACATAATATCCACTTCCAAGAAATCGATGTTTCTGGCTTTCTTTGATATTTACATTCAGTATTCTCCCATTTACATGGTTGTATTTCCTTTTTCCTTTGTATGCATTCTTTGCCCATTTTTATCTATAAGTTTCATGCTTTCCCATCAAGTTGTAATGCTTTTCATAAAACATTTCACCAATCCAGAGAACATCTTACACAAATAACAATTTAAGAAATAGTGACTAAAAGAATTAAATGGTAAAAGATCTTCAAAATGAATGTTACTCAAATGCTCCAAAATAAAAGTTTTTTCCTAGGGGAAAGGAATAAAATGCATAGAGAAAGAATAATATATCACAAACACCAACTACATGACTCCCGTGCCCTTCTATCTCCCTTGTCTCCCTGCCCTCCCAGATGTCATCACTACTCAAGAGTGGGAGTGCCTGGTTCACAGGAATGAATGACCTCACCAATTTTATAAGATACTGTCACATTTTTCACCACTGAGATTTTACCAGTTTGCACACCCATCAGCTCTGTGCTCATTTTTTTCCATTTTTTTTTTTAGAGAGAGAGGAAGGGAGAGGGATGGAAACATTAATGAGACAGGAACCTCATTGATTGGCTGCCTCCTGCACACCCAACACTAGGATGGAGCCCCAACCCAGGCATGTGCCCTGACCGGGAATTGAACCGGCAACCTCTTGGTTCCAGGGTCGACACTCAACCACTGAGCAACACTGGCCAGGCTGGGTTCATTTTTTAACAGTATGACATTTTAAGATCACTGAACATAAACAAGAGTTTTCTAAAACATCATTTAGAAATTACTCAACAATGGTAGCTTCTTTGGACAGTGAAGGACTGAACTTAAATATGCAGCATTTGTTGTTTTATGACATGGTTGAGTTGCATATTTAAAGTGTATTTCTTTGCTTTTTCTGTAGAACAGAGCAGGAATTTCCTAACAGTTGACTCTATATTCACGCCAATGAGATTTGGGCTGCTTATTGGTGAGATTAATTTAAATCAGATGAACTTTTCTTAACATAACATAATAATAGCTGGACACCTGGAAGATACTCAGAAATACCCACCCATTTTTAAATTTTCTGATTTGTGATTACATAATAAATGAAAAAACAGACTTGGAAGAAACTGAAATTTGAAAAATTACTTTCAAAAAGAAATCGACATTTCTTCCTTTTATTAGAATTCAAATAGATTACTTTTATTATTAGCAAACTCTGTCCTCTACTCCTCCTAGCTCTGAGTTGCCCAGAGGGTAAGGAATATCAACCCTGTGTGCGACCCTGTGAGGCAAGAACATGTCTGAACAGATGGTTCTATGGACACTCTTCATGTCTGAATGTAAGAGAAGATTGTGTGTGCAAAAATGGAACCATTCTTCACAGGCCATATTCAACCCAGTGCATTCCAGAGGAAGAATGTGGTAAGCAGCAAAGTACAAAATGACCTCTTACGGGTCCAGCAAACAAATAAAAACATTGTCAGATCTTGAAGAGATGTACAGAGAAAGATTGATCACAAGTATTCTAGCAGTTGGAAAGGAACTGAGTTTGTTAGTTTGTAGTTGGATTTTAGAGGATTCCAATTGAAGTTACCAAAACAAGTGCTTTGGTGGTGATGTGTTTTAATCTCCACATGTGCCTTTAATAACTGGGCAAGAGTATGGAAAACTAAGAATGAAGAGTGTAGTATGTGAATTAATTCAAATTCAAATTATTTCAAGTTTCCAGCTTTACCTCTGTAAGCCTGAACCATGCATCTGTAAAATGGGGAAAATACCCATAAGGTTAGTGTGGGAATGCACAAAATAAAGCACTTCACAACAGTGCTTTGAGAAAAATAGCACTTAAAAATTTCAGATTCTGTTATTATCTGAGAGAAAAGAGTTAATATTTCTACTTTCATTTTCAAACCATTTTATTCTGACACATTATCTCCATGGTGGTTTCAGGTGAAAAATTGAGAAAATTTCAGTCTAGACTTTAGCAGTCATAGGGCTCATCATCACACTGAGAAGAAAAGACATTTAGGTAAAATTAAAGAAAAATTAGTTAGGCATGTGGAAGTGAAATGCATATGTAGTTTCAGAAACAAGTTTGTGTTTGCCATTGAGGAAAGTATTTGTGGAGACTTTGAGAATACACAGGCATGCTTATGTTTGTTTTTAGGAACCTATGAAGTTGGCTTGCTAGTAAATAGAGTGGTGTAAAATAAGTTCATTGGAGGCTGGGATGCAGTGGGTCACTACATTTATCTTTATTACTCCTTAAAAGAACTACTAGAGAACCATATTTATTATTAAGTAAAACCTTAATAATAAAGCTAATAGAGTCACTAAATAATATTTTTTGTTACCTACTTTCCATGTTTAGACTTTAAAGTTAAAATTTTGAATTTTCATATCACAAAAAATGTTAAGGTTGTCTTGTTTTCTAATACCACTCATTTTCTAAAAATATATTTTTTTTATTGATTTTTTACAGAGAGGAAGGGAGAGGGATAGAGAGCTAGAAACATCAATGAGAGAGAAACATCAACCAGCTGCCTCCTGCACACTCCCCACTGGGGATGTGCCCGCAACCAAGGCACATGCCCTTGACCGGAATCGAACCTGGGACCCTTCAGTCCGCAGGCCGACGCTCCATCCACTGAGCCAAACCAGTCAGGGCACCACTCATTTTCAACAGTCAATATTTTAAAGCATTTGAAGTCATGTTACTGAGCTTGTTCAAATGAAGTAAATTATGTTAACAAGACTTAAAATAAAAAAGTAATTAACCATTTATGGTATTTATAAAATAGAGTACACACATTTACAGAGAATTTTAGAAGGGAAATATATTTTCTGCGGACTACATCAATCATTTCATTAAAGAAAAATACAAGCTAGTATCTGATGAATGAAAAGACAAATGTGAGGAAGGATAGGTATGTGATATGTGATCTGTGCCACTGGGCCAAGTCACAGTCTGAAATCAAAATACAGCAGCTTGATTGATTTTCGTGCCCAGGTTATGAATGATGTGACATTGTCAATCTTTTAAAGCATGTACTGACAGTAACGACCAGCCCCGCACTGCTGGGGAGATTTGGAATGGGGGTGTTGATGAATGTGCCCTCTACAAATGTCTGGAGAATGGAAGCATCATTCCTATAGAGCCTGACTGTGAGGAAGAGCCCTCGCCAATTTGTGAACGAGAGGCTGAGCTCATCCTGGGCATCGTTGACAAGGAGTCCTGCTGCTCAAAGGAGGTTTGTGGTATGTACTCAGCTGAACTTGTACAGTCAGTTCATGCCACAAAACATGTATGTTTACAACTGTTGTGAAAAAGTGGGCGTGCATGGTGCTGGGTATAAAAAAATGCAAGTTTGAGGTAACAATGGAAGTTTTTCTGTAAATTTCACTTGCACATTCTCAAAGCAAGTTTTGCCTCATTATGGTTTTGCTGATTTCGCAAATACACATACAAAACTCTGCCTATTAATAGTTAATAATATTCAGTAACACATGACAGACATGGAGAAAAGACAGGCATGTGACATGTCATCTGTGCTGCTGGGCCAAGCCACAGTCTTAGGATCTGGGAATCTTTGATTTATGACAATTGAGGGTGAAAAAATAAATAAACCTTACATCTGCTGCCTTTTCACCTATGACCAATTTTGTGAACAGAATGGGTTGAACTGCAGTGTGAAAACACGCATAATGAGAATCATTTCCCTGCTTTGAATTGGAATCACTAGGTTTTAGTCATGTTCATTAATATTTTAATGCTTCTGTTTCTTATTTGCAGGATGTGACATGACCTTGTGTGATATGACCATTCCGACATGCACAGATAGCCAAAAATTGTACATTGGTCATAGCCCTCTTTCTTGCTGTCCACAGTACCAATGTGGTGAGTAACTGATTAGAAAAAATAATAGTGAGAGTCATTGTTCATTCAGAATAGTGGATTAAATTCTCATTCTTTGTGTCTGCAAAGAAATAATCTATTTTTAAGATTGTGGAGCTCTGGCTGGGTGGCGAAATTTGTTGGAGCATCATCCCATACACCCAAAGGTTGGGGGTTTGATTCTGGTCAGGACACATACCTAGGTTTTGAGTCAATGTTTCTCTCTCACATTGATGTTTCTCTCTCTCTCTCTCTCTCTCTCTCTCTCTCTCTCTCTCCCTCTGTCTCTAAAATCAACAAACATATCCTCATATAATTTAGACATTATATGCATGTATATAGTAATAAACTCATTTTAAAGATTTTGATCTTTTTGAAATATGTAAAAAAATATATCTATCCTATCTAATAATAGACAAACATGGTAATTGACCATACCTTTGCTACGCCTCCCATTGGCTAATCAGCGCGATATGAAAATTAACCGCCAACAAAGATGGTGGCTAATTTGCATACTACAGGCAGGATGGGACAGCGCGCGCCTCCAGCGTGCCGCCATCCAGGGCAGCCCGGCCCTGGAAGACCCAGAAGCCGGGCAACGTGAGCTCAGCATCTGGCTTGGCTGTGTGGAGGGAGGGAAGGGGAGGGGCCTCGGGCCGGAGTCCACAGCAAGGGACCCTGGGCTCACAGTGACCTGAGCCTAGGGTCCAGGCCGAAGGAGGGGAGGGGAAGGGCCCCAGGCCAGAGTCCACGCCCTGGCCGGGCGGAGGGAGGGGAAAGGAGGAGTCTCGGGCTGGAGTCCTCAGTGAGGAACGTTGGGCTTGCAGTGAAACGTGCCCAACATCTGCTCACTGGCTGGGCAGAGGAAAGGGAGGGCAGGGGTCTTGGGCCGGAGTCCGCAGGGAGGAAAGTTGGGCTCGCGAAGTCCGCCTCCAGGGATGTCCAGCGTCCACACCCCAGATGGGTGGAAGGAGGGGAGGGGAGGGGCCTCGGGCTGGAATCTGTGGCGAGGGATGCTGGGCTCCCAGAGTCCACCTCCAGGGATGTTCAGGGTCCCGTGGCCTGGCCAGATGGTGGGAGGGGAGCGGAGGGGCCTCAGGCTGGAATCTGCGCGAGGAAAGCTCTCTGGGCTCTCAGAATCCACCTCCAGGGATGCCCAGCGTCCACGCCCCAGCCGGTGGAGGGAAAGAAGGGGAGGGGCCTTGGGCTGGAGTCTGCAGCAAGGAACGCTGGGCTTATAGTGATGCGAGCCCAGTGTTTGCACTCTGTCCAGGCGGAGGAAAGGGAGGGCAGGGGCTTTGGGCCAGAGTCCACAGTGAGGAACGCTGTGCTCACTGTGACGCAAGGCAGCGTTCACGCCGAAGGAAGGGAGGGTAGCGGCCTCGGGCCGGAGTCCCTGGTGAGGAATGCTGGCATCATTGCAGGCCCGGCTATTGGCCCACCCCCCCATACACGAATTTCGTGCATTGGGCCTCTAGTATAATAAGAATAGAGCCACAGTTGTTTAATAATGACTCACCTTACTAACTATAGTTAAGAAGTTTTCTTACAGACCCTGGGCAAATGGAAGATGAAACAAGGCTGTAAAAAGATAAGATGCCTCGATGGGTCCATGACTCAGAAAGGAAATACATTTTGAGAACAAACTGAGGATAGGACACGCTTTGATTTGGTTGCTGTGCCTGCACCCTGATCCCCTCTGGAAGTTTTTCTCAGGAACAATGACCATTCTCCAGTCCCAGGAATGGGCTGAGCTGTTTGTAACATCATAAAAGGTTAGCCACCTTACTATTGGACTTTGAGCTCCTGAAGGGTGGACTGCAGACTCTACCCTGCCTTTTCATGTTACACATGCAGCTAGCAGCTGCACGTAGTTATCTTCTCCCTCATGTGTATATAATCAGCCAACTGGTGAGGGGGTTCAGAGTAGAATTTCCAGGGTGATTGACTGCTCTCCCCATACTGGCAGCATTATTGGAATAACTGCTCATATATGATTCAACCCTGTATCTGTTTAATTTGGCTCAATAGTGTTCAGTTTCAGTCAGATAAAGAATATAAGAAACCAGGGTACCTGAATTGCATCTGAAAAAAGTTTTTAAGTGAGAAATAAGTTTCTATTGCATTGCAACCACTAATTTTGTGGGTCCTTGTTGCAGAAATTTAGCCATTACCCTATCTAATAAACCTTTATTCTAAATCAAAATATTGAATCACTGATATAGTGACTTGACTAAAGTCAGAGGCAGTCAGCAGATATTTTCAGATATTCAGATTTCATTCCTCACAGTCCTTCTCATTAGCCTTTTCCTAGGAGTATTTTAACACAAATATTTTTTATGACTCTGATATCTTTGAAATAACCATTTCCACACTAGTAGTAGTACTCTGCAATAGGGGTTTCTAAGAAAATATATGAAATGGTGAAGAGGGATTTTTGGACTGGAACACGCGGTGTCCCCCTGGGCAGAATGGTTCCCAGGCTCTTTGTCCATTGGAGTCAAAAAATGAATCCATGTACGGAAGGTGGAATAGCAAAGGTGGAAATTTATTGAAGAACAAGTACAGATTCCCACGTGAGGAAGGGGAAAGAATCCCGCAGAACAGACTCCCACGTGAGGTGGGGACTATGATGCACATGCACACTGACCGCCAGGGGGCAGATGCTCAACACAAGAGCTGCCCCCTGGTGGTCAGTGCGCTCCCACAGGGGGAGCTCCTCTCAGCCATAAGCCGGGCTGACAGCTGCAAGTGTAGCGGCGATGGTGGGAGCCTCTCCCACCTCCTCAGCAGTGCTAAGGATGTTCAACTATGGGGAGTGGGCCTAAGCTGTCAGTCGGACATCCCCCGAGTGCTCCCAGGCTGCCAGAGGGATGTCTGACTGCCAGCTTAGGCCTGATCCCCCGGGGAGTGGGCATAAGCCCGCAAGTGGACATCCCCTGAGGGGTCCTGGACTGTGAGAGGGCACAGGCCGCGCTGAGGGACCCTCCCCAAGTGCACGAATTTTTGTGCATCGGCCTTTAGTTATCATATAAAAGATTGCTGATTAATGTAGGTTTTAGATATACTTAAATCAAAACACATTATTTGTACCAGTTAAGGCTCTTTGACTACTTCAAGTAGTCAAAATTGGTTGATTCTAGCTTATGCACAACCAATTATTGGAAGGATTTTGGGATTAAGATTTTGAAGGATTAAGATGAAACAGATTAGGCTCTGAGAAAGAGAGAAACCAGCTAGCTGCTCTATCTGTCAATTATTAAGTATTGAGTCAGCAACATTTGTTTCCTGTCCTGGTGTGCTTCCATGTATGATTCAAATACCATAGAGATTATGGTTCAACTAATGTGAATTGTTTCCTCACAGAAGCCTGATGAGAATGAAGTGCCTTTATAATAGTCATACCAAGTCTGGGCATTCCTTCCAGGTCTTTACAGAGTTTTTATCAAAATTGGGAGAGGGATGCTGAACACCTCAAAAGGACAAGTGCCACCTGGCCGGTGTGGCTGAGTGGTTGAACGCCAGCCTATGAACTAGGAGGTCATAGTTTGATTCCAGGCACATGCCTGGGTTGCAGGCTCAATCCCTGGTGTGGGGAGTGTAGGAGGCAGCCAATCAATGATTCTCTCTCATCATTGATGTTTCTCTCTGTTTCTTCCTTTCCTTTCCTCTCTGAAATCAATACAAATATCTATAATAATAAAAGCGTAATATGCTAATTAGACCAGACAGCCAAACCACCTTCTGGACATCCTTCCGGATGACCTTGTGGATGAAGCCAGGGCTGCGAGGGCCAAGCCCCTTGCACGAATTTCATGCACAAGACCTCCAGTATTTTTATGAAAAAGGACAAGTGCCTATTATATTGTTTACTCATAAATTAGACTAATCAAGAACAGTGAATTAAGAAAACTTAAATAAACTAATCAATAATATTTCAATCTTAACAAGAAAAAATTATTCCAGAAATCTCAATGCCCTATGTTTTTAGTAAAATGGTATTCTATGTCACTCTGCTTGGAAAGCATAAAGCAATACACTCAGAAAGTATACTTGTTTTTATGACAAAATAAGATCTGTTGAAGCCTTATTTTTGTTTATGTTGATTTTCTATACACACAGTAATCTGAACTAATGTTAGATATCTTTTTTTTTTTTAGCTCAGCTGTAACTTCTGAATTTTTGTTTTACCTTTAGTGTGTGAATCTTGCACTGAACCTATTCCACTATGTACTGATGGGGAATTTCTCACTGTGGATCTTAATACCACACAGTTCTGTTGTCCTCAGTATTACTGTGGTAAGTATATCTTAACTAATTTGAAATATTTACAAGTGTCCAAAGTTTTAAGAAGCTCAGTGCATCTTAGTGCTACTGTCATGTCAGACCATAGTTGAATTCTAGCATACAAAATACATATTAAACATAAATAATGTTTTCATGTATCTAAGAGCTCTTCTTGGATAATACCATTACCTATCAAAAATAGATCAGCTATGACAAAAGATCAGCTCTGACTTGTCTCACTATCCTAGAATTTCTAGTAATCTAGTTGATTCCATACCCTCTTCACTTCCTTTCTCTTCTTGTACTCCTGCCATTTCTCAGGGCTCTTTTCTTGAGGCGCTGTCCTACTGTTGTTGTATGTGTTATGATTCATTTGTTTGTCCTCACCAGCACAGGGCAATAGGGTGGTAGGGGAGAAGGCACTGGTGAGAAATGAGTTCAGGCACTACAGCAGTGGCAGTGAATTAAATGGTAGGGAGTGAAACTCCTGATTCCATGAAGTTAATCTTTACCCATGTAATTTTTCTATTTAGTTTGTGAGCCAAATCTTTGTCCTGTGCCACAACTCAACTGTGCAGAAGATATGAAACTTGTGAAAGAAAATGTATCTGGTCAATGTTGTCCAATATGGCATTGTGGTAATTAATTTTCATATTTTAAAGTTTTATTACAATACATGAATGTATTCTGATCATTATAAATGTTGATTTTTGCTTTTTAGAATGTAGCTGTGAAAACCTTGTTATACCAACTTGTGAAGTGGTAAGAACACATATTTTGATTGACTTATCATCTAATTTAAATCGGTTTTTTCTTCCTTTACCTCTCTTATTTCTGAATTCTTAAAATTAATGGAATTATCCTCCTTAAGTTGTATTGAAGTGGATGAAAACAATGTGCTCTGATATTAGAGAGCTGTCAATGTTTTATGTTCTACTTCAGACAGGAAAGAACAATACCTTATTTTTTCCACCGGTGACTGAATCTACTAATCTCATATCTAATTAAGTTCACTAGTCTTAAAAGCAAGCAAACCATTAAAAATACTATCTTAATATTGGCATAGGTAGTGGTGATGTTTTCATGGATATATATTTATCTTCAAATTCATCAAGTTGCATGTCAAATAAATAAAGTAATTGTATTTTACAAAAACATTAATACAACATTTACTGTAATGATAAGTTATCTATTTTTGCATAGAATGTATAAATAACTTTCATAAAAATTATCTCATTTTATATTTTGTGTGCACTATATAAACATCTATAGAATAAAATAGACTTATGGTATTATATTTTCTCAGGTTCTTAATAGTTTACATAACATGTTTAGCATATTATATCAATGAATCTTCACAATGTAGGTATTTTTAGCTCATTTTATAAATAAGAAAATCGAGGTCTGAGAGAATAAATTATTGACTGAGATCTTCAGGCCCCAAACCAGGCATTGTTTTGTGTATATGTCTGTTTATGTATATTCCTTTATTCTTTACACTCATCTTTATTCTTTCATTTTTTTTACAAAGTGTAGCCAAGACATAAGTTGACACAAGAACAAAAGCAAGAATAGACTGTCTTGTTTCTATCAGTGACCTTGCCTTTCTTTAGCTGTGACTCACTTTCCTAACTGTAATATGAAAATAATAACAATACCTATGTCATGTGAATGAAATAAATGAATATAAATTAGATAATACTTAACATATAACAAGAGCTCTGTAAGTATTATTGATAATTATTATTACAACTCCCCTCCCCCATACTGAGAATTTTACCACAAGGTGAAGATCATCATGGAGATGGAAGGTGAGCATCAAGAAAAGTTTGGAAGAAAGTGATAGTCAGGTTAGAAATAATAAATAAAAAGAGGTGAACTATTCCAGACGGGGGCTAGTATGAACATGAGTACATGCCCAAAGGAGTGAGGTAAAATATGTATGCTGAATGATCATGACCTCTCTCTTTCCTTAAGAGAGACATAACCTGAGGAGGAACAATGAGGGAAGAAGAACTATCCAAATTGCTGAATTCAGGGGGACTTTAACGGCAAGGCTGAGAAATTTTTATTTGATTTATTCATTTATTCTTTTCAGTTAATCATTCAACCAATATTTGTTGAAACCCAATTACGTCTGGTTATGGTGCCAGCCACTTAAAAATGCATAGTCCTACCCTGAAGAGCTCAGTGTAGATTTAATGTGATAGGAGATAGAGGGGTCTTGTATCAGATAGGAATTATTATAAAAATGGTGTTTGAGGGAGCAGATATTGATAGTCCTGTGAAGCAGGATAAGGACAGTTAAACATTAGGAGACAGGACATCAGCAAGAGACTGGTATAGCTGCTCATGAACTTGAGTGTAGTGAGGTTAATACAGAAAAGAAGTGGGGGGGGGGGGGGCGCGTGGTAGAGTGTGTTTAAATTCAGGAGGGCAAAATGGAAGACTCTGGCCTTTTGTAATATATTTTACAAGTGAGTGTGTGTGTGTGTGTATGTGAGAGGCGGGGGGCAGATGAAGAAAGAGAAGGAAGGAGGAGAGGAGGAAGAAAAAAAAAGAGAGAGAGAGATGTAGAGAGAGCTCTTAGATACCTTTAAATTTACAAGGCTCAGACACTGAATTCACAAGTACTGGATTCTTGGACAAACACTGATGGCCAAAGGAGCAGATCAGAGTGACACTGGGATTTTAATGTTACCAGCCTCTTTCAGAGCTCTCCTCCTGGTCTGAAAGAGGTAACACAATGTCCTGAGGCATTTCAATAACCTTCAACACAACAATATAAACTACTAGAGGCCCAGTACATGAAATTCCTGCATGGGGGTTGGGGGCAGTCCCTCAGTCTGGCCTCCACCCTCTCGCAATTGGGACCCCTCAGGGGATGTCCGACTGCCAGTTTAGGCCCGATCGGGACCTCAGTCTGGCCTGCACCCTCTAGCAATCCGGGACCACTGGCTCCTAACTGCTCGCCTGCCTGCCTGATCGCCCTTAACCACTCGCCTGCCTGCCTGATTGCCCCTAACCACTCTGCCTGCCTGTCTGATTGCCCCTAACTCTGCCTCAGCCCCCTCTGCTGCAGCTTCATCTGGAAGGACATTCGGAATGACGTTGGAAAGTCATTCGGCTGTTCGGTCTAATTAGCATATTACGCTTTTATTATTATAGATTCCTTTTCCCCATGGGATTTTGTGCCTCCTCTGTTCTGGGATCCTTAAAGCATCTTTGAGTAGAACCCTCTATGTTCATTCTTTAACCTTGGTGTGGTTGTTACCTTAACTATGCTTTCTTTCTTTTCTTTTTCTCTTTTTTTGTGTGCCTTTACTGCTATCTTGGCCTAACCACCCACCAACCAAACACATTCCTGTGTGTCCCTTCCTTAACTTGCCCCCTCCCCTTTAACGAGTTTCTAGCATTCTCCACTTATCCTTTCTCGGTGTTCTTCTCCCTCCCCAACATTTGTGTTAGCTACTGATCCATTTAGTTCATTACCAGCTCAACATTCAATGTCTGAATATTATATATGAATCAAACTTTGGCATTACTCAATTTTGCAAATATTCATTGAATGGCTATTATATATTAGCATCATTCTGGGCACACACAACATAAACAGTAGTTTCAATAACTTTACCCAAATATACCATAACCATCCATGCATAATAATTTAGTTTTAACATTCATTGTTCTACACAAGCATTGACCTGACCCATTGTTCCTGAGTTCTCATTCTGAATGATGGCTATTTGTTTCAGTATCTATGATGTTATCTGTATATATTTAATATCACATTAGTTTTTCACATAGACAACAGATGCATTTCAAGCTAAAGAGTCTATGTGAGACTTTTGTAGTATTTCTTTTTATTTTTTTCAGTAACAGCTTTATTGAAATACTAGAAGGCCAGCCCGCAAAATCGCGCGGCCCCGCCCACCCAGCGTGCAGCCCCGTCCACTCGTGCTGGTCTTTGGTTGTTACAGCGTTAGGGCCACGGGCTTTTTATATACAGATAGATAATTCACCAGAGGTCCGATGCACGAAATTCGCGCAAGGGGCTTGGCCCTCACAGCCTCGGCTGGCCCTCGCAGCCCCTTGCAGCCTCGGCCTGGCCTCACAGCCCCAGCTGCCTCAGCTGGCCCTTACAGCCCTGGCTTTGTCTGGAAGGTTGTCTGGATGGTCGTCCAGAAGGTCGTCCAGATGGTCATTCTGCTGTTTGGTCTAATTAGCATATTAGCACTTTATTATATAGGATTATCATACAGTTTGGTCATTTAAAGTGTACAATTCAATGGTGTTTAGTGTACTCATAGAATTGTGCAATGATCAACACAATTAATTTTAGAACAGTTTTATCACCCCCAAAAGAGACTACCTATTAGCAGTCACTCCACACTTTTCTCCAAACTCCCCAGTCATAGGAAATCACTAATCTACTTTTTATCTCTACAGATTTGCCTATTCTTGATATTTTATATAAATGGGATTGTATGTTATGTGGCCTTTTGTAATTCCTTTCACCTAGCATAAGATTTGTAATGCTCATTCATCCTGTACCACGTATCAGTACTTCATTCCTTTTTACTGTTAAATAATATTCATTATATGAATATACCTAGACATTTATCCAAAATAAAGATATACAATGGCCAATAGAACATGAAAATTCTTTAACTGGCATCATTAGCTATCAGTTAAATGCAACTTAAAACCATAGTAACATACCACTTTATCCTAAAAAGATAGATATTAACACATATGGGTAAGAATGGAGAAATTGGAACCTTCACATGTGGGATTGTAAAATGGTACAGCTGCTTTGGAAAACAGCCTGGTAGTTACTGAAAAGGCTCAATATAGAGTTATCATATGACCCATCAATTCCACTCCTAAATATATACATATGAGAAATGAAAGCACATGTCCATACAAAAGCTCATATGAATGTTCATAGCAGTACTAGTCATAAAGCCAAAAAGTGAAAACAGATTATGGTGATTTTGCTACAGACTTTAAAGGAGAAAAAAAAGCCTTTATGCTCATACTGGTAGAACAATTAAGGAGATATTTCCTCTTGGTGAAATTGGGTACTTAGAAAATAAAAGTGTAACCAAATACATGGATAAGATCCAAAGGAAATATATGTAGAAGGAAAGAACAGAAGATTTAAGCCTAAACTTGCAAGGGCACATTGGGCATTGTGGATTCAATTATTAAAAACAAATGGATAGCCCTAGCTGGTTTGGCTCATTGGATAGAGCGTCGGCCTGGGGACTGAAGGGTCCCAGGTTCGATTCCGGTGAAGGGCATGTACCTTGGTTGCAGGCACATCCCCAGTAGGGGGTGTGCAAGAGGCAGCTGATCGATGCTTCTCTCTCATCGATGTTTCTAACTCTCTATCCCTCTCCCTTCTTCTCTGTAAAAAATCAATAAATCAATAAAATATATTCTAAAAAAATAAAAAAACAAATGGATAAGTGACTTAAAAGAGGTAGTATGTACCCAATACTTCCTTATCTAATCTTCTGGAGTAGCTAATACAGTGAGAGAATTTAATTTATTATTTTTAACTGCATATTTCTAACATTTTATTTCCAATCTCATCGGAATTATGTAATGAATAAAAGTCATAAAACCTCATTTGAGTTAACATTTATGCAACTACTTTACAACTTGTAAAAGCACTATGGAAAGTAAGATATTATTAGCTTATGGGGAAAAGTGACTTTTATATATGAATTTATTTGAATCATTTCTTATGTCAAGAATCAATTCATTTTATTACTGATCTTATGAAAATTAAATGTATCCAGGAAAAGTTGATACTTAAAATGTAATTCTTAAAACTTTAAGCCTTGTCCTACACTTGAGAGGAATCTAAACCCTTCCTAATAGGGCAAAGTTTGAGTATTGGTCATAACAATGATTTACTACAGCTAAAGGTTACACAACACCTTCTATGTGCCTTCCCTTTTCTAAGCTCTGTACATACACTGAGTGGCCAGATTATTATGACCGGCCAGATTATTATGACCACCCCATCAGTACAATGAAGTGAATTAGTTATGCAAATAATAATAATAATCAAACCTTGAGAGTATTTGCTTAGGAAGTTTTCAATAGTCAGTATTTTTGGAAGTGTCAATAAAGTACTGATGGGGTGATCATAATAATCTGGCCGGTCATAATCATCTGGCCACTCAGTGTATACTGACCCATTTATTTCTCTCAACAATCCTAAAGGCCAGGCAGTATTATTATCCCCAATTTACAAATGGAGTGAGGAGAAGACTGGCTAAGTAACCTGCCCTCCATATATCACACATCTAGTAAGTAGCAGAGCAAGATCAGCACACGGGCAGTCTTGTTCTTGAGTCTGTGTCAGTAAGCACTATATTATACTGTTCTGCCCCTGCCTCATATACTATAGCAGCCTTGCAGATGCAGACATCAGAGCCTGGACAACTCCTACAGAACAGAACAAGACCATTTCCATCAAACAAAGTTTCCAGGATTAGCAAACATTTTTTTTTTATTTAAAAAAATATTTTTATTGATTTCAGAGGAGAAGGGGGATGGAGAGATAGAAACATCAATGATGAGAGAGAATCATTGATTGGCTACCTCCTGCATGCTCTTTACTGGGGGGTGAGCCCACAGCCCGGGCATGTGCTCTTGACCGAAATAAAACCTGAGACCCTTCAGTCTGCAGGCCAATGCCCTATCCACTGAGCCAAACTGTCTAGGGCAACAAACATTTTCTTAATCTGATTACCCACTAGAACAGTGGTTCTCAACCTTCCTAATGCCGCGACCCTTTAATACAATTCCTCATGTTGTGGTGACCCCCAATTTCATTGTTACAAATTGAACATAATTAAAGCATAGTGATTAATCACAAAAACAATATGTAATTATATATGTGTTTTCCGATGGTCTTAGGTGACCCTTGTGAAAGGGTCGTTCGACCCCCAAAGGGGTCGCAACCCACAGTTTGAGAACCGCTGCACTAGAAGCTTGGAATCAAACAATATTTTACAGATAGGACAGATCATAAAGATCATCTTATCTGAATTCACTCATTTAATAGATAAGAAAATTAAAGTTCATGGAGATTAAGTGATCCATGCTCACATTGTTCATTGTGATTTTTTTCCCCCCTGAGCTACTAATGAAATGACCACCAGGTTAATCCAAGACTGTTCACCATCAAATATTTATTATGCACCTGGTATGTGTCTGACTGTATGGTAGGAAACTCATTAAATATTATCTTGTCTGTTTCTTACAGTTGTCATATAAAAAGCCATATAATGTTACATAATAATAAAAATAATATCTTTCTAATAGGGAGAATTTACTACAATAGACCATAACTTTCAGAGTGACTGTGGATGTGTGCAGTATCTCTGTGGTAACTATATTTTTTATAACTTTTAAATGCCAATGAATATTATTGGTATATGTTGTTCACTATTCATAAATTAAAAATAATTTTCTTTGATTGGATTACACATTTTAAGCCATTTGCCAAGTTTTGAGTATAAAAATATTATAAATACTATTATATTTCAGTTTCCTCTTTTGTAATATTTCTAAATGTTCTGAGAAATTTGATAATTGGGCAGAAAAGTGAGTAGTGTTTTTCAGAAGCATCACTGTATGTAAAGTTGGTGCTAGGGTTTATATACAGTATACTTAACTTTAAAAAATAGACATCTATAAGTGACAGATTTTTTTCTCACTGTTTTATTATTATTGACTAGAGGCCCAGTGCATGGGATTCATGCACTGGTGGGGCGGGGATAGCCTGCAGGGATCCGCCCACTGTAGGAGCACCACTCATCCCGGTCAGCTGAGCGGCTGTGGACCCACCCTCTGAGCAGCTGCTCCCACAATGGGAACACAATGACCACCAGGGGGCAGCACCTGCGTTGAGCCTCTGCTCCCTGGTGGTCAGTGCGCCTCATAGTGACTGGTTGACCAGTCATTCTGGTCGTTCTGCCATTTGGTCGCTGCCCTTTTATTTTTTTTTATTATTATTATTTTTTTTTTTTTTTTCCATTGCTGTCTCAGTGGTAGTGACGCATATTTGAGTGAGATCACTTAGATTCAGTTCCACAAGAATACATCATTGACATGGACTTTTATTATATAGGATGTTAACACTGCAAAGCAGAGAGTTGGCTTTTCTATGAAATAACAGAACTTCATATTAAGTATTAATAGGTTAATGGAAAATACAATTTCTGTCCAAGAGTTTGAAACTTGTATTTTTATATGAGAGAAGGCTTAATTTCCATGTTGGTGAGGCACAAAGATTTTCTGATCTGATTTCTTCAGCACTATCTAGCTTACCCTAACATGCCACTGTTAATGATATGATAGCACATTGTACCAGTTGCCTTCATCATGAAGTATGATTTACATGACTATTTATTTTGCAACACAATAAAATTAAAAATTTATTTTCAAAATGACAATTAAAGAACATTAAATGTTACAGAATCCCATCATGAAGAGATATACTATTATTAATTTAGATTTTGCCTCGATCTATATTCACTCCCCAAAATTGTCATGTTATGTTTCTGGAAGAGAGAACAAGTAATCTGACAATCTCTTAGGCCTAAAATTCTGGAATCTACTATCAAATATAGCTTCTGGAGGAAGTTCAATCAGTGAATAGCAGTTGAGTTTACAGATCAATTTCTTGTTATATGTTAAAGAATAAATATACCACATTATTAAGTAAACTCTTGAGTTATTAACAACATGTAAAGGTGAAGATCTATTTTGGTTTTGGAAAAATTGCACATCACAATGAAAACATAGATTTAAATAAAAATTCCATTAGATGATTAATTAAAAACTCAATATTGTGCTTTTTGTTGACTGTTTTTCTTTTCTTAGAAAAAGATGATGTGTGTGTATTTCAAGAAGTATCAGTATTGAATCCTGGCCAATCTATGATAAAGTATTTGGAAGGAGACTTTTGTCATACGATAGAGTGTCTGGAAGAAAAAGATAACCTTACAGGCTTTCACACTCTGAATTTCACAATGGTGAATTGTTCAAAAGAATGTGACATTGTAAGTATTCTTTATAAGTCATTCTGGTGAGAATCAATCTTAAAATGGCAGCTATAAAATTTGAGCTAGGGAATACTGCATAAGTTAAAAATGTATACTTGAATAGTTCTTCAATAATCTATTAATTTGTAACATCTACCTATTACAGACTTTTCTTTTCCTGTGTATGACCTTGAGCTTCAGAAGTCTTATTATCTACAGCTTACTTAACCTGAAGTTGTTATACCTGCTTGATGAATCTTGGCTGGTAGATGTGAAGATTATAGCGATATAAAGTCAATTCTTATATGAAGTGCTTTAAATTCAACCTTCGAAATGCTTATAGATGTTCTGAGAGAGCATCTACTTATGTTGGGAAGCACTTTCAGAACTAATTAATTATATATTGGTGTTGTTGTGGGGCTTATTCAATGTATTATTATCATACACAGCACCAGGCATATACTCCATCTCCAAGTGATTATGATTGTTGTGGTACCTGCAAAAATGTATCCTGCAAATTTCAAATGGAAAATGGAACATCAGTTATATATGAGGTATGAATTCCTTATTTTCTAAAAATATGTTCATTGGAGGATACTCTTTATACTACTACTTTCTGAAGAAGACATTCTTAAATCAAATAAGTTTTCAAAATGCCACAAACACACAAATACACACAGAGAGTTCTACATACAATAAACATACCCATATACAACATGCTTTTAGTGGACAAGATACAGTTACACTGTAAACTATCTGATACTTTCTGTTGTAAAGAACCATGTTTAACTCATTTCTCAAACTTATTTTATAATACATCTTCATTTTTAAAAAGGTCTTTATTGATTTTAGAGAGAGGAAGGGAGAGGGATAGAGACATAGAAACATCGAGAGAGACAACAATTCTGCTGCCTCCTGCACACCCACCACCAGGGATGAAGCCCATGCATGTGCCCTGACTAGGAATGGAACCGGTGACCTCTTGGTTCATGGGTTGATACTCAACCATTGAGTCACACAGGCAGGGCTTCATTTTTATTTTTTAAATGTATTTTTTATTGGTTTCAGAAAGGAAGGGAGAGGAAGAGAGTGATAGAAATGTCAATGATGAGAGAGAATCATCCATCGGCTGCCTCTTGCATGCCCCACACTGGAGACTGAGGCTGCAACCTGGGCATATGCCCTGACTGGGAATGGAACCATGACCTCTTGGTTCATAGGTCGATGCTCAACCACTGAACCAGCCTGGCATTTTGTTTTATTTTTTTAGATGTGAGGAATGGGCTTAGAGAAATGCTGATTTCTAATCATTACAAAGAAAAACAACAATGATATTTTATTTACTCATTTGAATGAAACACTTGAATAGAAATCTGAAATTCAAGATGTTAGCACTTTATTTCAGCTTTTGATGGTTCCAGTGGATATATAAGAATAAAGATTTAGGTCATTTGACACATTTTCATTTTTTTTTTAAATTTTAGTTTTAAAAACATTTTTAATCCTCATTGGAGAATAGTTTTTATTGATTTTAGAGGGAGGGAGGGAGGGAGGGAGGGAAACATTGATTGGTTGCCTCCCATATGAGAGAGAGAGAGGTCAATGTGAGGAGAAACATCAATCAGTTGCCTCCAGGGGATTGAACCTGCAACTTAGGTATGTGCCCTTACCTGGAATGGAACCAGCAACCTTTTTGGTGCGTGGTTTGATGTTCCAACTGATGGAGCCATCAGACACCAGACCAGGGCAACAAATATGCTATACTACATCTTTATACAAAAAATAATTATTATTCAGAATTCTCCCTTTATCTTATAATAACTCTATATAGGTTTGAAGACTGTCCTACTTCTTCCCTAGAATTTTTAATGAAACTTTATAATTTTATTAGTGCTTTGGTCAGTTTTAGGAAGGTCACAAATTGTGTTTATAATTTATCAGAAGGTAATTCCAATTTATTATTGCTATCATTACATTTCTTCCATTAATAGTTTAATTATCTGTAGATATTATTTCTGGTGTTCTTAATTACATGGGATTACTCACATACCCAAAAGAAAAACTTTTTCTACCCTGTACATTTTATTAAATGAGAAAAATGAACAATTATGTTTTATGCTATAGCCTATTGTTTTACAATTATGTGCAAAACAGTGTTATTGATTTATGTAGTTTTATTGTTATTGTTTACCTGTTTATCCTAGCAGTATTTTTGTTTTCTAATATATATTTTTAAAACAGGGAGTCTTAAAAAAGGAAGCTTACAAAATGATTAGGAGACATAGGTGACAGTAAGAGAAAAGGAATCAGAAAATACTGGAAAAAAATACAGTAATTGGGGGATTTTAGTAAAAGGGCAACATAAACTCTATAGATATTGGTAATCCAGGAAGCATTGGTGTATGAAATTAATATTCATGGTGGTATCCCTGAAATGTAAATAAAAGATTAAACTATGTTCAGAATATTTTTTTGAGAACACAAGCAATGCAATATAGATAAATATACATAATTCTTGGCTTTTTCCAAGGTAAGCTTTAGTTCTCTAGAAATCTAATTTCTATGGAACAACTAACTTTTTTTCAGACAAGTAAGATATTACTGTGTTTCTTGAATTTGAATATTTAATTTTCTTTTACACCTAGACTTCTAGATTTTTTTCCAATTAAGATTCATAGAAGACCCAAAGCTATTCATAAACTAAAAATAATTTAGAAAGAGGAAGTTAGTTAAAATTCTTTACTGGTCCACAAGAAATCTTCAAGCCAGAGTTCGACTAACATTTTAAAATCCAGACTATAAAAATATACATCAACAATTATAGCACAACTAGAGGCCCAGTGCATGAAATTCATCCATGGGTAGGGTTCCTACTGGCTGCTGGCTGCCAGCCGAGGCCTCCCTTCCCCAGCCACTGGCTGCCAGCCGGGGCCTCCCTTCCCTGGCAGCCAGCTGCTGGCTGGGACCTTCCTTCATTCCGTGCCACCCGCTTGTGGTCAGTGCACATCATAATGAGCAGTTGAACTCCAGGACGGTCGAACTCCTGAGGGGACACTTTGCATATTAGGC